TGCCCCAAAGGCCAAGGGGTGCCGCGACCCGGAGCAGACCGCAGTCCGGCACCAGAGCTGCCTCCAAAGTCTATCTGGAGAAGATCAACGCCTTGGAGAAGACGGTCATGGAGCTCAAGGCACAGCTCGACGTCGCAAAGCTAGGCAGTTAGGGGACAAAGTGAACCAGGAGATCGAGGCAAAGAGGCAAAAGAAGGAGAATAAAGGGAGAAGGGAACCTATGAGCTCGGAGGGTGCCGAGATAGAGGATGGCCAGAGCGGTTTCGAGGAGAAGAACTCTTGGGACGAGTTCATCAAGACCATCTGTGGCGGGGTCAAAAAGAGAACACGAATATCCCAGAGAACCTCGACTTCGACCTCAACAAGGACACCATTCTGGACGAGGAGAACGTTCAGGACATTGTCAACGACCCGAAGGTTCGATTTCAATATCCTGATGACTATGATCGGGTGAAACGACTTCCTGGACACGACGTGAAAAGGGTTGCCAAGAAACGGGGTAGGGGTTGGGCCGTTCGCACCCTGCGGGCTCTGTGTGATGACCACCATCCTGGCGTTCACCGCCGCCACTTTGGAGTCCATCGATAACAACACCAAAGGGGCTCGGGAGTGAGCCACCTCTGGACTTTCTCCACCCGACGAGATGAAGGAAGCTACACCGCACAGGCTATACTTCGGGGGCACTATGCCATAGCCGAGAGCGAAGCGGGAAGCTCGCGCTGTGAAGAAGGACCTCACTAATCGAAGGAATGGAGAATGACGACAACGAGGTCTTCGCTGGGGCACCTACAGCAACGCAAACATCAATCAACTACCCCATGTCTCTGACCCTGCAGATGGACTGGTCACTGGCGGCCGGCGACATCGAGGCAGCCTTCCCAAGAGAGGTTGAGAGATGCATAGGACCCTGTAGTGGTACATATGGGATGGGCTATAAGGCTGTTCAACTTCTCTTGGTCCTGAGCGGGGTCTCTCCACTTCGTGAAGGTTGCGGCGAGACAAATTGGCAGGCACTCTACTTGAAATCAAGGTGAAGGCGGACGGCCATGAACTGCATCTTGCACAACGCCACTTTGACAGATGCCTGTTCCTCTCGGTAGACGAGACTGAGCAGCTCTATGGCATCTTAGCGACACACATTGATGACATCTTGACCAGTCCTCCGTGGGCTCTCAGAAAACAATGACAATGACGGACTGGAATATTGTGGAGTTCGACAGCACATGTAGACTCCCGCCTACAGATGGCGAAAGAAAAGAAGGCTGAAGCCCCATTCTACAGCAGGATGGGCGATCTAGAGGATCTCGCCACCGCCATCTACCATGACGCAGCTTGGGCCAACGCACCCTCTTACGCAGGTCTTCCCCTAATTACTTGGAGGCAAAGGAGACCGGCGCCTACTCCCAACCGGGCTGCTTGGTCTTCATCGTCCACAAGGACACACTTTGCGGAGCTCCTGGGCCAGGACTACTTGGAGCGTGGAAGTTACACGTTTGTCCTCGAGGGTGGAGAAGCACTTTTGTGGCCGAGACCATGGCGGCGTTGGAGGGCTGGGAAGTTGGCATCGCGTTTCGCGACCCCCTGAGACGCTATTTCAGGAAGAGGAAGGACAAGATCCTTCCTTTGGTCTCTTAGACGGACTTTAAAAAAGTCGGCATGATTCGGCCGTCAGGGTGTGTGAATGTAGCCCTCGGTTGATCCTTTTGTTCGCTGCCGTGAAGGCACAAGCGTCTTTGACTGTTTTGCGCGAAAAGCTCTTGTTTTGCACGTTTACAGTTACCAATAGCGATGGCCTCCAACCTAACAGCGTCCTTGCTCCTAGTAGCGATGCCCTTTGTTCTTAGTAGCTTCTTGTTCCCAGTAGTCAGGCTAGGAGCCCCTAGTAGCGTCCTTGCTCCCGATAGCAACGGCCTCCACCTCGTAGCTTAAGATCACTTTGTCGCTCCAAATCCAATCGAAAAGACCCTACAGTCAACCGAGTTGAAGCCATGGTCTCCAGCCTACTAGCGGTTACTAGCGATGGCCTCCACTGGTTGGAGAATCCGGAGAAGTCCAAAAAGGAGGTTCTCCACATTCTTGGAGCTTCTCGTTTTGCCTAAAGCGCCTTCCACGACAAGATTGACCATTCGTGTCATGATTCCGTTCGTGGTCGAGTCCAGAAACAGTCATCCAGCTGCTCGCCTTTTGTCTTTGTTTCAAAACAAACAGCTACGACAACAATAGCGTCACCTTTGTTTCTCCAATGCACCATCGTCTGTTCGCTCCTCGGAAGCGGGACAACAAAATCATGGGCCAAAAAAAAGGAGCACCGTTCACCGGGGCGAGTAGATTCCTTTGCTAGTGCCTTACTAGTAGAAACAAGAAGCTAGTAATTACAATTCTAATTAAGTTCTTGCTCCTAGCAGTAAGGCGCTTGTTACTAGAAGCGATGCACTTGTTCCTAGTAGCTTCCTACCGTTCACCGGGGCGAGCTCCGCGACCACCGCACCACTTCTCAGTTGCGACCTTTCCACCCCGCCACTCTCGAACGAAGGCCAGGTTGCAAAGGCCCGCATGTTTCTGTAAAGACGAGCTACTTAGTTCGCAAGTAGTCGTATGTACCGACACTCACCTTTGGCAATAGGAAGCTTATGGCCGGATCGATTTGGGCAACTCTCAGAAACTCTGCAGGCCTCTTGCGGCTCCCCACTTTGGAAGAAGACGAAGCTCTGGACGTACGGTCCAGGTGATTGTGCTCAAAAGCGCTTGACGGCGAGAGTCATTCTTGCGATGTCCCAAATTCTACTAGGGGCTCCGGCCTTACTACTAGGAACAAGAAACTACTAGGGGCTCCTGGCATCGCTACTAGGAGCAAGGACGCTAGGGGCTCCTGGCCCTGCTACTAGGAACAAGAAACTACTAGGGGCTCCTGGCAGCGATACTAGGAGCAAAGGTTGCTACTAGCAACAAGAGTCCTTCATGTACCCAAATTTTATCGGACCAGTGAGACGTGAGTGTTTTTGTTTGTTTTGCCCTAGAAGAGATGCATTGAAGCCGGAAACCTGTCCGCTTGTGTCTTCGAGCACTTAGCCACCCGCTTCCGGGATTGTCCTGCGCATGAAGAAGCTCTCCAAGTACGCAATGTTCGCGAGTCGTTGAAGTCGTCATTTCGGGACTGTAAGCAACGTCGACACGCCATCAAAGTGTCCGACATGGACGTGTGAAGTTGGCTGCGGAAACCGTTCTTCCAACTTGCGCAAGTTCTGCGCGTCAACCTCCACGTTTGAAGGAAGAAAGCTCGGCGCAAGAGCTCTTCTATATGCGCACAACCATGTTCCCGAATGTTGACACTCGGGCGCTGTGAGCGCGCTGAGCCAACCAGGCTCCTTCTCTTGCTGGCTACCGCATTTGTGTCAAACTTTGGACTTAGTCATTGTTTTCGAGTCATTGGTAATTTTAGACTTGTTCTTTCGCGAGTGGTTTTTCTGGACCCAGAGACCCTTTGTTTTCTGGCTCAGACCGGGCGGAGCCTCGTCTGTACACGCGGAATTTCCCTCGAATGTACACGCGGAGAATTGATCTCGTTTGTGCACGCGAAACTCGGATGTGCACGCGGCTTCCTCGGCTGTACACGCGGCTTACACGGCTGAAAAAATGAATGAATGAATGAATGAATGAAAGAATGAATGAATGAATGAATGAATGGAACCCGACCAGATTGTTTCACAATCTGAACCTTGTTGTCTCATTTTACGTCCATCGCTTTAGATGCGGTGCTTGGGCTGTCAGATCCGTGGACGGGCACAGCGCGCAGACATGCGAGCTTTCATGCGGAACATGTGTCGTTACCAACATCGTCAATCAAACGCAGAGCGTCTGTGTGACGTGAACCTGTGGAAGCAATGAGCAAAAAGAGATCATCATGTAGATGAATGTCCAGAGGGACGTTATTAACACATCATCAATCAAACGAAGCAATGAGCAAAAAGAGATCATCATGACTCAATTTGTGTGTGCGCAAATGAGGCGAATCATGTGTGCGCGTTTGAGTTTGGGGTAACATGGGCTGTTTGAAGAGGAATGTAATCGATGTGTGCGCAGATGAGGCGAATCATGTGTGCGCATTTGAGTTAAATATATAAAAAAGTCTGTGTGCGGATTTGAGGGGAATTATGTGTGCGCAAATGAGGCGCCATCCCTCAGACCTTCACACTTTGCTTTCTTTAAGGCCTCACTTTCTGTTCTCTTTCCTTGGACCGGAAAGCATATACGTAATGTTTTCCTCTTTGGACTCGCCCAGTCCCGGCTTGGCCCGCTCCGGATCACACCGTTCTCGTGGATATTCCGAAGTCAAAGCTCGGATTTTTTGCGGTTCAACACGGTCCCTCTCCTCCCCAAGTAGAGACTACCTACTTAAGGAAATGAGGTAGCTAGTACTAGGATAGCTCGCGGACTATTTGGTTCCTAGATGTGAGAAACCATTTTAGTTCCTTGAACAAATATTTGTGCGGGTGGAACCCACTGAGCCCAAAATGACATGACAAAACGTGAGTGACACTGAGGCAAATAAGCTTGTCAGATGAATTCTCGTGTTTTGTTTGCCAGTTGTAAGTAGCTTAGGTAGCCTAGTAGGGAACTACTCCCTTGCTTAATTGGGAGGGGGAAGGGCAAGCGGGCAAGAAAACGTATTTGTTCTCTTTTCGTTTTCTGCGGCTTTAGTTTGAGATGTCTTGTGTTTCAACCCACACTTCGCAACCAAGGCGGTCTTGTCGGGATGCGATCCAATTATTCCTTGCCGCCCTCCTCCAAACCTGAATCCTTGTCGCCTGGGTAGCCCAGTGAGATCGCAAATGCCGTTTTTGGCAACAACAAAAAAGAAGCAAAGAAGAAGAGAGCAAAAGTTGGGTTTAAATTTGTGAACTAAAGTGTTCTCAAAACGTAACAAATGTTTTCTTCTACAAAAAGCATGTTTTTGTGTTTTTTTCTTCCTTGTTCGTGCTCGGTGCTCGGTGAGAACTTGAGGAGTTGATGCTTCTCAGTGTGCCAGTGTTCGGCCTGGAAACCGCTGCATCATGTGCCTTGATACAAAGATAGCTATGAAAGAAAAATAAAAATAGAACATAAAGTAATATTTAAAAGAAAAACAGTCTACAAAGCTAAAGAAAAACACAAGTGAATGCGAGCTGTGAACAGCACACCGCCAGATCAGTGTCTCACGGCAGGTCTTGCCGGCCGCCATTTCTGGGACGTGACTCCGTCTTAAGCTGTCCTGTTGGGAGCACAGAGACGAAAAGGCATAAGACAAGGCTTTCTTTTAAGAAAAAAAAAGAAAAAATACGAAAAAAGAAGAAGACCTATAATTAGGGATGAACATACACCGAAATACGCCTTTTCCGCTCACAAAACGCATGTGTTTTCGAGGTGAGAAACACAGATGGGCGCTTGCTCGGGGATGTGCCGACCTGTCACTCGACCAAAGTTAAGAAGCTACGTTCGGGGCTCCTGGCATCGCTACTAGGAGCAAGGACACTAGGGGCTCCTGGCCGTACTAGGAGCAAGAAGCTACTAGGAACCGAATGGTGCGAGCGCTAACCTGCGTCCAGTCGTTAGCGTTCTTGAAGCTAGCGACCGTTTGCTGGCTACCTTCAGCGGCCTACCTCTCCAAAAAAGAAAGGGTAACAAGGTTCGCTACTAGTAACAAGTGCATCGCTTCTAGTAACAAGTGCCTTACTAGTAACAAGAAGCACATAATGTAGATTCTTAATTGGTTTCTTAATTAGGTCGTCTCTCCAAGACCTGGGACAGAGTGGGACAGAGCGAGAGCGTGATGGACCCCGAGGCCAATTGGATCCGGACTTCGACCCCATCCCGTTGGACATCGGTTTTGCCAGTCGGAAAGCCAGACGACGGATGGACGCAAAAGCGGAGGAAGATGAAGATGACGAAGATGACGAAGCGTTTAAAAAAAAAAAAAAACAAGGTTCCATTTCAGATTTCAGGTGACTATGAAGGGTTTCATTGTGGAGCAGGGTACACTGGCCCCGTGAAAACCGTGTGTCGACACTTGGCAGCATTTGCGCAGCGGCACAGCCCCTGCGAACGACGTCGACGCCCCGACGCGCCAGGGATGCAACCAGGCTGCCGGACCACCACGTGACCTGAGAAAAAGATAAATGAGAAAGAAGATGATGAGAAACGAAAAAAACAAAGAACGAGAGAAACGAAGAATGATTTTCTTTTCTTTTTCGTTCATTTTCGTTCTAAAGATCGTTGCTTGTGTCGCTCGGATGGAGTCGAGAGGTATCCCGAAGGCTGTGCTCCGCCCGTCCCCTGCGACGTCGGAAGTTTTCAGGAGAAGTTTAAAAGCAAAGACATCCGACAGTGAAAGAGAAGGGATTAGTAGAAACAAGTGCCTTACTATTAGTTACTTTTAATTAGCAAACATTGTTACTACTAGTAAGGCACTTGTTTCTACTAGCTTCTTGTTACTACTAGCGTGGCACTTGTTGCTCCTTTTTCTGTCGACTTCCGAAAGGACGAAGACGGTCGGCGAGGCGAAGTGGTGTGCAGCACGATGTGTTCGTCGCCCGTCTCGGTCCCTAAGTAGGCGCAGAATCGGAGAGAAGGCGAAGGCAAACAAAGAGAAGGTTTCAGGAAGTCTTGTGTTTCTTATCTCTTTTCTTGCTTCTGGCTCCTAGTAGTCCTTTTGTTCGGAGTAAGGCCAGGAGCGCCCCGTTGGTAGCGTTTTCTTGCTAGCTTTCTTCGAAGGCATCATTGGCGGAAACTTCACCTTTGGGCGCAGTCAGTTGGACACCGTTCTGAATGTTGGACAGGCGTGGACAGGCTTCGCTTCTCAGAGTTCTTTTGAGAAGAAACATTATCGCAAGAGACCCTAAACATCTGTAGCAGAGGTCTAGAAGTGTAGCTTCTTGCTTCTAGTAGTAAGGCACTTTTAAGGCACTTGTTTCTAGTAGTAAGGCACTTGTTACTAGAAGCGATGCACTTGTTCCTAGTAGCTTCTTGCTCCTAGTAGTAAGGCACTTGTTACTAGAAGCGATGC